TCGACGACGCTGATGGCGTATACATCCGTTTTCGTCTCGACGGGAGCGTGTTCAACCTGAGGCGTTTGCAGGCCCACACAAAGACCATGGAGCAACTGATCAGGGAGCTGCTTTTTGCTGACGATGCCGCCCTCCTTGCTCATACAGAGGCAGCTATGCAGCGAATTACGTCCTGTTTCGCGAAAACAGCTCAGATCTTCGGCCTTGAAGTCAGCCTGAGGAAGACTGAAGTTCTTCATCAGTCCGCACCCCAGGAGGAGCACCATCCACCAAGCATCTTCATTGAACAAACAGAACTGAAAGCTGTCCACCAGTTCAGCTACTTGGGGTGCGTCATCTCGTCTGATGCCAAGATCGACAACGAAGTCGACAACAGGCTGGCCAAGGCAAACAGTGCATTTGGCAGACTATACAAACGTGTCTGGAACAACAGAAACCTTAAAAGAGCCACAAAGGTGAACGTCTACAAAGCTGTTGTGCTAACCACTCTCCTGTATGGCGCTGAGTCATGGGTCACGTACCGTCGTCACCTGAGTCTCCTCGAGCGTTTCCATCAGCGCTGCCTCCGCACAATCTTCAATATTCACTGGAGTGACTTCGTCGCCAACACTGAAGTCCTCAAGTCAGCGAAGGTCATCAGCATCGAGGCCATGGTCCTCAAGACACAGCTTCGTTGGGCAGGGCACATCGCCAGGATGGAGAACCACCGCTTGCCTAAGATTGTGCTGTATGGGGAACTGTCCTCTGGCCATCGCGACATAGGGGCACCACGAAAGCGATACAAAGACTCCCTGAAGAAGTCCCTCACTGCTTGCTGCATCGATCACCGTCAGTGGGCAACACAAGCAGCTGATCGCAACTCCTGGCGGCACACAGTCCACCAGGCCACCTCCTTCTTCGAAGATACCCGCAGGGCCCGTATGGAGGACAAAAGGAGAAGGAGGAAGAACCGTGATCCCTCAGCACCCATCCCAGATGAGACCTTCACTTGCAGCTGTTGTGGCAGGACCTGCCTGTCCCGCATAGGCCTCTTCAGCCACCAGCGTGCCTGCAGAAGACGTGGATGTCCTTCCTAGATCTTCGTTCGCGAAGCCAAGCCATGATGATGGTTGAACCAGTGGCTCAAGCGAGCACTGGCTCTGCTGATGAGAAACTGAATGTCGAAACCGGTTCAGAAGTTTGTCTGTTGAACCAGTGGCTTAAGCGAGCATTGGCTCTGCTGATGACACACTGAACGTCGAAACCGGTTCAGAGGTTTGTGTTGTACCAGTGGCTCAAGCGAGCACTGGCTCTGCTGATGAGAAACTGAATGTCGAAACCGGTTCAGAGATGAGTCCGTATCGCTTGTATAAAACCAACGCTGCTGAGAAGGTGCACTGTCAGAAGGCGGTATTGGTGGCTGGGACGAGTACAATTCTCCAAACACGAGAGTGAGTGGTGGAACGCGAAGCGGTGGAAGGTGGGGCACCCTACTCCCTTCTCTACCACCCTCGCCCCCCCTCCTCTTGAGTCGCGCGCGCGGAGTCAATCACTCGATTCCAGCAGCGGAGACAACAAGGTGGGTGCAGGTGAGACACGGAGACACACGGAGACACACGGGGACACGGGGAGATGGCGACACGGGGAGACATGGGGACACGGGAAGATGTTCACATGGGGAAAGATGGGGACAGGTGGAGATGGGGACACGGGGAGACATGGGGACACGGGGAGACATGGGGACAGGTGGAGATGGGGACACGGGAAGACATGGGCACACGGGGAGATGGAGACACGGGAAGACATGGGGACACGGGGAGACATGGGGACACGGGGAGACATGGGGACAGGTGGAGATGGAGACACGGGAAGACATGGGGACACGGGGAGATGGGGACACGGGGAGACACGGGGACACGGGGAGACATGGGGACACGGGGAGACATGGGGGCACGGGGAGATGGGGACACGGGGAGATGGGGACACGGGGAGACATGGGGACAGGTGGAGATGGGGACACGGGGACATGGGGACACGGGGAGATGGGGACACGGGGAGATGGGGACACGGGGAGATGGGGACACGGGGAGACATGGGGACAGGTGGAGATGGGGACACGGGGACATGGGGACACGGGGAGACATGGGGACACGGGGAGATGGGGACACGGGGAGACATGGGGACAGGTGGAGATGGGGACACGGGGACATGGGGACACGGGGAAACATGGAGACACGGGGACACGGGGAGACATGGGGACACGGAGACATGGGGACACGGGGAGATTGAGGACACGGGGAGACATTTATATTATCCTACACCCTATATTCCTTTGGGGGTTTCTTCCTTGGCATTGTTTGCTGTTGTAACTTGCCGACCCGCCCCTACTGGACATCAGTATGAAAACAAGAGCTTCACAGCTCATCGGATTCCTGCTGCAGTCTAAAAATAACGATGCTGATTCCGGTGACCGCGCTAGGCGGGCGACGCGGATGCCGCCTGCCCCCGTCGGGGTGATCGCGGCACCAGTCCCGTCCGAGACGAGCGGTTTCGAACGCGCGAGCGACTCATCGGCAGGCAGGAGTTCAGCCTCGACTCGAGTCAAGTTCAAGTTCATTGATTAGGTGTAGCCCTGTGAGCAATTCGGCTCTTGAATCGGGTGCAACCGCAACAAACAAAAAATAAAAACATGAACAGAAAACATCTTAAAGTGAATATGTGACTAAGTGCAAACAGACAATCCAAGAAAAGACAGCAAAATATTGCAGAAAAAAATCACTGTACACCAACGCTGTGTGCAAACATCCCAGTGGGATGCAAGTCAAACAACCAACAACAACTTCTTTGTTCTTTCGGTAAAGTCACTTAGAAGGGAAGTAATAAAATAATAAAAATAAAACATAATAAAATAATTCTCACGACGTTTCGGCCACAACGCAAGCAGCCGTCCTCAGGTGAGGACCATGTCTGTCGGGGAGACAGCGTCTGAATTATTTTACTATGTTTTATTTTTATTATTGTATTACTTCCCTTCTACGTGACTTTACTGAAAGAACCAAGAAGATGAATCCCTGCAGTCACGAAAGCTTTAAATCGAAATCAACAACAACCACAAGACAACTTCGATTAAGGTCATCAGTCTAACTGTACTACAACAAACAAACATGACTGGGGTGGGAAGTGCCCCGATTGCCTTCGACGGGCGAGAAGAAGCCGCGCCTCCGTCGCCGTTGTCACGGTCTCTCTCCGTTCGCACGCGGTCTCTCTGCGTTCGCACGCGGTCTCTCTCCGTTCGCACGGCGCGCGCGGCACATAAGACGGTAGAGTAACTCCGGCGGCGATTTCGCACTCGGCTGGTCGAAGCCAGACAATCGCTACAGGAGCAGCGGATGTCTCGTTTGGCCGTGTTGAACCGATGGCATTGAGTTTGTCTCATCGGCAGAGCCAGTGCTCGCTTTGAGCCCCTGTGTCAACAAAGGCAAACCTCTGAGTCGGGTCCGACTTTCATTGTCTCATCAGCAGTGAGTGCTTGCCTTAGCCACTGGTTCAACACAGGCAAACCTCTGAACCGGTTTCGACATTCAATGTTTCATCAGCAGTCAGTGCTTGCCTTAGCCACTGGTTCAACACAGGCAAACCTCTGAACCGGTTTCGACATTCATTGTCCCATCAGCAGTCGGTGCTTGCCTTAGCCACTGGTTCAACACAGGAAAACCTCTGAACCGGTTTCGACATTCAATATCTCATCAGTAGTCAGTGCTTGCCTTAGCCACTGGTTCAATAAGGCAACCCTCTGAACCGGGTTCGACATTCAATGTCTCATCAGCAGAGTCAGTGCTGATGAGCAGCCCTGTGTAAGATACAAACCCGAGGCGGGGGAGCGGTGGGGGAGGGGGGCGGGGGATCGTCTGAGTTTGGGTTTTTTCCCCACGAGCTGCGTTCGTTCACTTTTGCTCGACTTCGTCTCGCGGTGCCGAGCGGTCAGCGTCCTTCGCTTCGTGGCCATTCCGAGTTCCCCCGCTTTGTGGTTTTCTTCGTGTGTGTTGTGTGTGTGATTTTGTGTGCGTGTGTGTGTGGTGTGTTTTGTGTGTGTGTGATTTTTTTTGTGTTTGTGTGTGTTTTTTTGTGTTTGTGTGTGTTTTTGTGCGAGTGGTTTTTGTGTGTGTTTTGTGTGTGTTTTGTGTGTGTGTGTGTTTTGTGTGTGTGTTTTTTTGCGTGTGTTTTTTGTGCGTGTGTTGTGTGTGTTTTTTGTGTGCGTGTTTTTTGCGTGTGTTTTGTGCGTGTTTTGTGTGTGTGTGTTTTGTGTGTGTTTTGTGTGTGTGTGGTGTGTGCGTGTGTTTTTGTGTGTTTTTTTTTGCGTTTGTGTGTGTTTGTGTGTGTGTTATGTGTGTGTGTGTGTGCATGAAAATCGGGTGACACATTGTGAACGACAGCCCTTGTGAGACACGCTGAGCGCGTCTCATCGGCGACGATCGTTGCTTCACTGCAGCTCAAAAGTCTCGGTGGCAATAGCCAGGAGCGGGGTTCAAGGGTTTGCTGACCTGTGACCCCAGACACACGCGACCAGCGTGGTGGAGGTGTCACGCTATCCACGACCTCGTCTGAGAGCATTCGAAGACTCATAACGGGTGGCGCTCAGGCAAGAGACACTCGATTTGAAGCTTTCGTGACTGCAAGGATTCAAATTCGGTAAAGTCACGTACGTAAAAAATGTAAATCAATAAAAGTAAAATAAAAATAAAATAAAAATCACGACGTTTCGAGAGCTGTATACAGCTATATAGCTGTATACAGCTATCTTGCTGTGACGGTTCCACCTGAAGACGGAAGCTTGTGTTGCCTCCGACACGTCGTAATTTTTATTTTACTTTTATTGACTTTAATTTTTTTACGTACGTGACTTTACAGAAAAACCCTAAGAATAAGAGACACTCGGTCAAGGCTTGGGTGATCGGCGTGTTTGTTATATACCCCCCCCTCGACCCACTACCCACACCTCCTATACCCCCCCCCCCCCACAGATTTCTAAACAATCAACTCGGCGTCGTCCGCCTCTCTCTTCTTGAACAGAGGGCATTGTCGCGCGTTGGCGAATTTCGCGAGAGAGAGAGAGACATCGTCACAAATAATCTCACCACCACCACGCCCGCTCTTTGAAGGCAGAAGAAGACCCAACGTAAGACATCATCGTCATCATCGTCATCATCATCATCATCGTCACTCAGGAGGAGAAGGAGGAGGAACGTCAAGTGACGCGCGGCACAGCGATCAAGCGAGCGAGCGTAGTCCGAGGGTGGTGAGGGGGGGGCATCCCCATGGCGAACTCATCCCTGCAGATCGCCGGTATGGCGGTGGCGTTCATCGGCTGGATCGGCAGCATCGCCGTGACTTGTCTGCCGCAGTGGCGCGTCACCGCATTCCTGCCAAACTCTGCCAACATCGTGGTCGGACAGGTGTTCTGGGAGGGCATCTGGATGCAGTGCGTCTCGCAGGCAACGGGCCAGCAGCAATGCAAGGTAACGGGCACATCTCTCTCACTCTCTATCTCTCTCGCTGTGGTCTCAAGGTGCACCTAGCCTGGCACTAAGCGCCGCGGTGATGTCACCGCGCGCGCAGTGGCGAACGGCGGCTGCTGTTGGTGGTGGTAGCGTGTCACGTTTTCATAATACATACAAAGGTTCCCCCCGTCATAGCCTTTGCCAGACTGTTGGAGCAAGTGATGTTAGTGAGCAGCGACTATTGTTGAGGCTGGCGTGTTTTACAAGGGGACCGTGCCCGGCCGTCTTTGTCTTCCCAGTGCAAATGTCTGTTTTTACACACCGCACCAGACATTCATTTTAAGGCTGAGTGGGCGAGTAGGCTGTGATGGATGGGGCACGTGTGAAGGGGTGGTGGACGAGGAGGATCGGGTAAACAACTTGGAGGTTGTGAATATGAGATATGAGGAGGTTGTGATGAGCAGGACTCAAAATTTCGATTTAAAGCTTTCGTGACTGCAGGGATTCATCTTCTTGGCTCTTTCGGTAAAGTCACGTAGAAGGGAAGAAATACAATAATAAAAACAAAACATAATAAAATAATAATAAAATAATTCTCATTCAGACGCTGTCTTTCCGACAGACCTGTTCTTCACCCGAGGACGGCTGTTTGCGTTGTGGCCGAAACGTCGTGAGAATTATTTTATTATGTTTTATTTTTATTATTTTATTATTTCCCTTCTACGTGACTTTACCGAAAGAACCAAGAAAAGGACTCAAAATGTTGTGAAGCGGGAGCCGTTCCCTGGCTCGCCAGCAGAAGGCGGCACACCAACAATGTCGACTCCACCTGTTGCGCCCAGTACGGGGATCGAGTGTTTCGCCCTCGCACGGCGTGAGTTTTCTCCGGGTGCTCCGGTTTCCTGCCGCACGCATCTCTCTCTCTATCTCTCTGTCTGTGAGCTGCGTCGTTCCTCAAAGACGCCGGCGGTCATGGACCTCCTTCCATTGAGCTCTGTCCACGATCTTTACTCAACAATGCTGCATCCGATTACATTTTTATTTTATTTTACTTTTATCAATTCAATTTTTTTCACCTACGTGACTTTACCGAAAAAACCTAAGAATATGAATCCTTGCAGTCACGAAAGCTTCAAATTTAGAATTCTGCATCCGATTATCCGCATGCTCCCGTTTCATCCGACTCGCAAACATTCATCGATTGCCCGATACCACCTTTAACATGCATATATATATAGGACGGCAGAGCTTGAGAATACAATTTGGCGATGGCTGCTCGCCGCCGCTGTGTGGCTGCTGCTGTCTCCTTCTCTCATCCGTGGTTCCTCCTCCTGCCCCCTCCGAGTGGCTTTCCTCTCTCTCTCTACGAGAGCGAGGAGCCGGTATTGTGCGGCGGTGGCGCTGCAAGTTGATGTTAATATTATTATCCTCGTCGTCATTATTGATACACGGGAGTAGCCGCAGTGCAGTTCGTCGAGTCTCACAGCAGGGAGCGCCACCTGCTCGCTCGCTCACTCGCTCGGGGTCGCGGTCCACGTGTAGCTACAACAACAATACTTTACATTTGTAACAAAAAAAGGCAATTTCATCCGTGGCTCCCAATGCGTCACCCTGCTGTAGAAAGCAGCAATAGACAGAACATGTGGGGTAAATGGACATAACTAGGGGGGGAGGGGGGATAGAGTCCAGTTTACTCACTCGTTCAACCACTTACCCACTCACTCACTCACCAACTCACTCACTCACACACTCATTCATTCATTCACCCACTCACTCACTCACCCACTCGCCTACCCACCCACCCACTCGCCCACCCACCCACTCGCCCACCCACCCACCCACTCGCCCACCCACCCACTACCCACCCACACCCGCCACCCACCCACTCGCCCACCCACCCACCACCCACCCACTCGCCCACCCACCACCCCCACTCACTCACCCACCCCACCCATCCACTCGCCCACCCACCACCAACCACTCACTCACCAACCCACTCATTCACCACCTACTCACTCCACTCACCCACTCACTCACCCACGCACTCACACACCCACTCACCAACCCACCCACTCACCAACCCACCCACCATTCACCAGAACTAGGTAGGGCGGGGGGGTAGAAGCCAGTTTAAAGAGGCGAGTTTTCAAGGCTCCACTAAATAGCTCTAACGACTCCCACTGTCTTATTAGCGAACGGCAAAGCGTTGTTCCAAAGCTCGGACGATTCGCCGACAGAACCCCGATCAGCACCTGCAGTTAAATCCTCCAACTCGGGAGCCCTTCGAAGAAATCGATCCGAAGATCTCAGGGACCTCGTTTGGGAGAGCACAGCGATGGAACAGTTCCTATAAATCCTGCGGGGCTAACCCACCGAGCGCCTTGTAGGTCATGATCAGCATCAGGGTCTCATAGTTCACTCGGCACTTGACTGGTAAGCCGGGTCAAGGGACAAGCGGGCAGCTTGGGTGACGATGCACTCGCGAAACGATGCGCTCGCGAAACGGTGCGCGCGGAAGGATTTCAGCGCAGCTGCGTTCTAGACGAGCAGGAGTCTAACCCAGCACCTCGCCAGGAATCCACCGTCGGCAAGTCGGACTTGCGATCCACTGGTCCCCGCCGGTTCGATCTCCAGGCGCGGAAGGTGAAACAGCGGGCACGTTTCTTAGCCAACACTCGCGCCACCCCCACCGCCCGAGCCTGTGTACGTCCAGTGGTATTAGATGGGTACCCCGACAGATCGTCTACCATCGGTAGGTTGCGTGAGATGCGGTGGGGTAAAGTGTCGATACTCGGAACTCTTCCAAGGCGTTTGGCCATCATTGGAGAGTAGGCTGAATACCCTCAAAGGAGAGCTTCCTTCAGTTCAACTTTGCTGGAGACACCTTCCGTCAGCAGTGCCGTGAGCAGGGAATTGCAGGTTTGAGTGGTTGTGTGGCTTAGTGGGTGAGTGGTTGAGTGGGGGAGTGGCTGAGTGGGTGAGTGGTTGAGTGGCTGATTTAGTGGGTGAGTGTCTGAGTGGGTGAGTGAGTAAGTGGGTGAGTGATTGGATGAGTGGCTGAGTGGGTGAGTTGAGCTGAAACAATTATTATAAATCGGCGAGTCGTTAAACGCTTGTACACCACGTGACAAATGTAACGTCGTTGGCTATGTCGGGTGGTGGAGGGGCTCGTGACACACACGTGGCCAGATCATTGAAATGGCCCAACCCCAAATACAATAAATTATCAATCCGAAAGCTGGCTGCGGAAGCCTATATATTATACCACGTGTTAAGCGAATTGTATGTTACATACAAATACATGACAGAGATATACACGTGTACACATCGATCATATAAATAGATTCGTCTCGCGCTCCGGACACGCCTATGCCTATCCGCAACTCCCCTGCGGCTAAAATGTCTGCACATCTCGTGCCGAGCGAGTGGAACGTCACACCCCACCCCTCGTCACCCGCACGTCTATAGACCCACGGGTGGAGTGGTGGGGGGAGGGGGTAGAGACAGTGCCAGATAATATGTTACTCAGGTTAACACGTGAATAACCCGACCGGCAAATGGATACCCATTGCAATTTCGATGCATTCATTAAACCCCGACCCCGTCGCATGTGAAAGTGTTACAAGTGACTTCATCGCAATTATCGCTCTGTTTAATGAACGACACATGATGATTTTTACGCAAATTTGACTGTCGCCTGATGAAGCTCGTTGTAATTACTGGCGAAACGTCGTACTCAGATTGTAAATGTTGTGGATTCGCTCTCAAAAACACCGGTGTTGCTGTACGAGTCACGATTTGGCACGTTGTGTTTACGTGTCAAACCTTACTAATTGGCTGTGTCGGGTGGTGGCGGGTTTAACGACACACATTTATATTTACGCGATCTAACCCAAAAAAACCCTATATTATGAACATGTTACTCATCGCAAGTACATAGAACTAATAATGCCCCCCCCCCCATCCCAATAAACAAAGTGAGTGGTTGAGTGGCAAACCACTCAGACAACTCCGGCTGCTCACACCGAGCAGCTTGGAGCCCAACGCAGATCGAGGAGGTCGCTAGGAATCTCCTGCATGTGGCAGCAGCAGCATCAGCAGCAGCAGCATCAGCAGCAGCAGCAGCATCAGCAGCAGCATCAGCAGCAGCAGCTGTGGGAACCTGGTGGAGGGTGGCACACGCGGGGGCGATGTTGACATCAAGAGCTTCAAATGTTGACTTAAGACTTTTGTGACTGCAGGGATTCATATTCTTTGGTTTTTTCGGTAAAGTGACATAGATAGAAGATTAAGTAAAAACAAAACTTTTATATATTAAAACAAAAATAACTTTGAGTTTTTGGTTTTTAATTTGAATGTTCAATTTGAATTTTATTATTTTTCTACTTATATTTATTTAAACATTTGTTTTTATCTACGTGACTTTACCGAAAGAACCAAAGAATATCAAGAGCTTTGGCCACCGTGATGATGACGACGACGACGACGTCTTCATCTTACCCATGCCCTCCATCCCCATCCTCCACCGTCCTCTCCCCTTGCACAGGTCTACGACTCTCTGCTTGCACTCAGCCCGGACATGCAGGCGGCCCGCGGCCTCATGTGCTCCGGCGTGGCTCTGGGCACCCTGGCCATCCTCATCGCGACCCTGGGCATGCAGTGCACGCACTGCGTCGAGAACGAACGCGCCAAGGCGTACATCGCCATGGCGGGCGGCTTCCTCTTCATCCTCGCCGCCCTCATCGTGCTCATCCCCGTGTGCTGGACGGCCAACGCCATCATCCGCGACTTCTACAACCCCAGCGTGCCCGATGCCCTCAAGCGTGAGCTCGGGGGAGCCCTCTACCTCGGCTGGGCGTCTGCCATTTGTCTCGCGGCCGGGGGTGCGCTACTGGCCTGCTCGTATCCCCGCAGCGACGCGGGCAGCTACAAGCCCCCCACCAACAGGCGATTGTTGCCATCGTTTTCCGGTTTCATTACCAACAAAAACAACAACAGCGGCAATAACGATGGTGGTGGTGGCGGTGGTGGCGGTGGTGGTGGCCGAGCGAGTGCCGCCAGCAACAGAAATGCGCCCGGGCGCTCATACTCGCTCAAAGAGTTTGTCTAGAACCGTGTGCCTTTCTTTTTAGGGGGGGGGGGGGGGTAATGCAGCGGCCGAGCAGGCTGCAGCGTGGATACCGTGCAGGAGGATTGCTGCTCTTGTGCGAACGGAGGGGTGGGGGGGGGGGACCAACACAATCGCATAAAACGCGAAATTATTATGACTTCGTAATAGAGGTTTTCTTTGGGGTTAGATTGCGTAAATATAAATGTGTCGTTAATCCCGCCACCACCCGACACAGCCCATTCGTAAGGTTTGTCACGTAAACAGAACATGCCAATTCGTTACTCGTACAGCACACCGGTGTGTTGGAGAGTAATTGCATTTTACAATCTGAACACGACGTTTCGCCAGTAATTACATCGAGCATCATCAGGCGACAGCCAGCTTTGTGGATAAATCCTCCTTGTTGTGACTTACTCAACCGACACTGCGTGGACATGTCAACCATCCCTATGTGTTTTGGCCTTCGTAACCTTTGCTGTGATGGGCGGGCGCTGGGTGGACGGGCAGTGGTGTTGATTGGGGGGGACCGCCACACCAAAACGTTTGTGGACCACTAAGATTGTTCGGTGGGGGATGTCGATGCGGTGAATTTAATAATAAATTAATCGTCAACATTGCCCCCCGCTTCTGACAAGACTCGTTCCCGTTTGCAGGTCGGCGCTGCGTCCACTTTATGCCGCACAGGGACAGCTTCCACTCCGGGTGGGGGGGGGGGGGGTCCCCTATACCAGACTGCAGGAGGGCATGGGAAAGGCCGGGATGATATGATTATTGGGTTTTTACCCTTTAATCTGGTAACAAAACTGACACCTTTTTTTACGAGGAGTCATGTTTGCATAGACCACAATACCTGCAGTCATAATGCAAACAAAAAACATAACTCTGATAATGTATCTTCTTGGTTCTTTCGGTAAAGTCACGTAGAATGGAAATAATAAAATAATAAAAATAAAACATAATAAAATAATTGTGAGAATTATTTTATTATGTTTAATAAAACATAATAAAATAATTGTGAGAATTATTTTATTATGTTTAATTTTTATTATTTTATTATTTCCATTCTACGTGACTTTACCGAAAGAACCAAGAAGATGAATCCCTGCAGTCACGAAAGCTTTAAATCGAAATCTGATTATGTATGCACTGTCTTTGAAGTTGATTGGTCCACACCCGAGACAGCTTTCCTTAGAGCCTAGTCTTCACATGGTGTTGGACCAGATGATGCCAAAAGGGGGATGATAATTGAGATGCTCATTCATTGTAAGCCGCGCAATAGCCATCTCGCTTGCGTCAAGGCCGCACCCAAACGGCAGGCAGCGCCATCTGAAGCCGTCCCGCGGCTAAGCCGCTTTGTCCACATCTGAGCGAGCGGCTGCGCGCCACGTGTGCATCCAATGACGCGTTCGGGGAGGGAACGGCCAATCAGAGTCGCGCAAATGCGCAAGCCGCGTAGCGCGCGAGTGGGCAGGCGTGACAAATCGCCGAGGAGATCGACGCCTGAGAGTCGAGACTCTGCGTCTTTCTTACTCTCTCTACTACTACTACTGTGAGCAACCCGTTTGCGCAACTCGTTCCCTGCAACCGGTTGCAGAGACGTCCGAATCAAACGCGAATCGAATTGCTTGCAGCTGATCGCCCTCGGTTGCGGAGAAATCGTTAATGTTCGCAGTATCGGATCGCGAGCGCTCGGTATCAATGAGGGTTTTCTGTTAAACGTATGCTAAGTATATGCAAATTATATGCAAATTGTGCCCACGGTTTAATTTCTCACTGATTATAATTTGTTTGTTCCGGGGGGTGGGGGCGGGGCGGGGGGAGGAGGGGGTCGCTGCGTCGACCGGTGGAGTTGCCGGTTCAGCGCCCTGCGCCGTGAAACCCGGCGACGCGAGTTCGATTCCCGGACACGGCTGACATCAGTGGCGAATGACATCGTCATCAGAAACCGGCCGCGCATCTGACCGCCTCCCACCGCCTCCCGTTTGTCCACCTCGCCCCCTCCCCCCCTCCCCACCGCTTTCACCAACCCGCACGCGACCGGCCCGGTGAAGTATGGCGAAAGCGAAGCAACGGGCTCGGGGAGATCTTCTTTGACTGACCCTTGGCCCGAAGAATTGCACAATCGGTGACTCTCCGTTCAGTGGGTTCAACGGTCCCCCAAACCCTTGCAGGGTAAAGTCACGTAGAAGGGAAGTAATAAAATAATAAAATAAAACAATAAAATAATAAAAATAAAACATAATAAAATAATTCTCACGACGTTTCGGCCACAACGCAAGCAGCCGTCCTCAGGTGAAGACCAAGTCTGTCGGGGAGACAGCGTCTGAATGACAGACCTGCTCTTCACCTGAAGACGGCTGCTTGCGTTGTGGCCGAAACGTCGTGAGAATGATTTTATTATGTTTTATTTTTATTATTTTATTATTTCCATTCTACGTGACTTTACCGAAAGAACCAAGAAGATGAATCCCTGCAGTCACGAAAGCTTTAAATCGAAATAAAATCCTTGCAGCGTATTTAAATAAATACCCAGACGCACACGCGCGCCTTCACGTAAATATATATAGTTATACCCAACACGCTGGTGTGTAAGGCTGACGTCTCCAGGGCAACGTAGCTGTCCGCGAATGCGGCTCGCAATGTAATGAGCTGTAAATAGAGCGACAGGGCGAGACGGATGATTGAGTGGGGGAGGGGTGCGGGTGGGGAGCGGTGGGGGGGGGGAGTTGGGGCTGGAGGTGTACCACGTGGTCATGTCAATTTTCGTCGATCCTTGCGGAGTTGATGATAGCAGCAGCAGCAGCGATACCGCTGGTCGCAAGAGCCTCGATTTCAATGTCGAAGGTGGTGGTAGAGGTGGTGGAGGTGGTGTCGTTGCTGCTGCTGCTGGTCACGACGAGAGGGCTACAGCAGAGAGAGAGAGGAAGAGTTCGTGTAGCCCTGCTGTTCTTCCTCCTCCTCCCTTGAAGGAGCGCAGACTGCAGTGCTTCTAGGGCCGTCCGGAGCGGATGTGCGTGGCCCGGGGCCGTGTGGGCCACCCGACGCCTGCTCACTAGATTTTGACGTCGAAGCGCCCCCCCCCCAAAGCGCGGGGCCCGGGGCAGTCGAACTGATTCGTCGTACGATTGGGGCGGCTCTGGCAGCAGCAGCAGCAGCAGCAATGCGGTTGAAGAGCTCCATGCCAATGTCGAAGGTGGTGGTGGTGCTGCTGGTGCTGGTCACAACAAGAGGGCTTCAGCAGAGAGAGAGATAATAAAATAATAAAACATAATAAAATAATTCTCACGACGTTTCGGCCACAACGCAAGCAGCCGTCCTCAGGTGGAGAGCAGGTCTGTCGAGTAGACAGACCTACGTGACTTTACCGAAAGAACCAAGAAGATGAATCCCTGCAGTCACGAAAGCTTTACATCGAAATTTAACAGAGAGAGAGAGAGTTCGCGTCGTTGTGCCGTTCCTCCCGCTCCATTGAATGAGTGCAGACCGCACTGCGGCCACGATGGGTAACAACAGCTGATCGCTAGCCGGTAACAATGTACTCCTCTGACGTGTCGAGAGGGAGAAGAGGTTTGGTGACGACTCCTCGCCTCGAGGTGTCGCTCGTTCCCCGCGCGCCCGTGCTGGGCTTACGCCAGAGGTCGCAAACGGGTTTTTATTCCTTACCCGTACCCGTACATGGCCGCACCAGGGTCGCAAATGGGTACCCGTACCCGGCCGGGTACGGGTAGCCGTTCCCTACCCGTACCCTACCCGAAATGAGTGACAAACGGCTACTCACCAGTGACTCACGGCCTACCCGTACCCGGCCGCACCAGGGTCGCAAACGGCTACCCGTACCCGGCAGGGTACGGGTAGCCGGGTATCGGGTAGGGTACGGGTATCGGGTACCCGGTTGCGACCTCTGGCTAACGCCCCATCCTCTCTCCTCGTCCTTCCTAGTCTAAGGCGGTGTTCTTCTTTGCTAGGTCCGCGGACCGCTCAGCCGATGCAAACATTTCCGCGGACCGCCTAGCCCCCCTGGTAACAAGACGCATACACTTCTATCTCTAGAAATACCACTCGTAAACAATGATTTAGCTTACTGGAACATATATTTTTTTTTACGCAGCGATAAGTTTTGTTACGGATGTTCGGTTTAGGGGTAATTTATTCAGGGTGGTTTACCTAACGAAATTTTTACATTAAATATCATGCATTTGCATCAAACTAAACTATTCTTTTTTATTTTACTAGGTAAGGCTCACTGAGCTATGCAGCTCTTTTTCAGAAGCGACCTGGCCACAAATGATAGCTCAACGGAGTGGCTTATCACGTGGAAATTTATAACTCTGAACGCGTGTTTATAAACGTGGAGGTTAAAAAACGGACCACGGGATCAAATCCACGACCAGCTGCATACCAGGCGAGATAGTTAACATCACCAAGCCACCGTGATTATGATGAGAGAGAGAGACACGCAAACTTCAAATATACAGCAGGCGTCCGGGTCGGGATCGAACCCACGACCAGCTGCGTACCAGGCGAGGTAATCAACATCACCAAGCCATCGTGATTATGATGAGAGAGAGAAAGAGACACGCAAACTCCAAATGTACAACAGGCGTCAGGGTCGGGATCGAAGCCACGACCTCCTGTATATCAGTCGACGTAGTTTACTGCCAGATGTGGTTAAACCTGTTCTTATATTTTGATACTGGCAAGAAAGTTCCCATATTGTAGCTGCTCACCCCGAGCTATAAATTCCCTGATAGTGGCATTGTCTTTGTGCTGTTCGCCTTTTGACGTCATCTGGTCTAACACTGGTCGATTAGGCCCCAAAGAAGGCCGTCTCTGGTGTGGACCAATCAGTTTTAAAGACAATGCATCAAATACTACCAGAGCGTGTTTTGTGTTTGCACGTTCACCACAAGTATATGTGGTTAATGCCGACAGGATTCCTTGCAAACGTTTTCCGTTTGGCGTTTTAACATCTTAACACCTCCTGTTTCATTGGCAGAAAGG